ATGGCAGTAATATTTGTCTTAGTTCCTCAGATTCAATATATAACTAACAAACAAAACAAGGTCTTACAACACCCATGATATCTGGGCCTACATCTTATGAAGTGAAAAGTAATGAAAATATTTAATCCAGCAGTCCTCCTTAATACTCCTTTAGTATTCTCCTTTAAGTATTTCTTTAATTCCCTTGCCATCCAATTGACAGCATACTTCTTTACTCCATTTCTTTACTCCATTTCCTGCTTCTGATGAGTTTAAAGAATTTTAAAAGGCTGGTCATAATATAACCTGTGCTATGCCAATCTGTCTAGTTCTAAGCATTTTTACCCATTGAAACTTGTGATCACTGTGAATAGAAGCATTTAGGATCAGCCGTAAACAGTATGTAGTATTTGTAAAAGAAATGGTTACTGCTCTTAGCATGTAAGAGACTGTTGGATGCATAAATATTACCAGGTTTATAAGGTTTTAGGTACTGGTGCTATAAAATATTTTCTTTGTTATGAGTTCCCATTATTTAACTGAATTATTCTTAGTGGCCAAAGCATTTCATTGTTTAACTTAGAGTCTGCAGTTAAAACTCATTTAGTTGAATGCTGATTAGAGCCTTTGGAGCCTTGTGGCTCAGTGGTTAAACTGCTGTACTGCAGCCAAAACTGCTCACAACCTGGGGTTCAGTCCCTTTGAGGTTGATAAAATGAGTACCCAGCTTGCTGGGGGGGGAGGGGGCAAGGTGTAGCCTGTGTAATTAACTTGTAAACTGCCCAGAGAGTGCTTTAAGTGCTATGGGGTTGCATGCATGCAGAACACTTTGCTTTTGCTTTGCTTTGGTTTATCCAGCCCCAAATCACTGGCAGGCAAGCATACCTATATATGTCAGTTATGCATAGGACATCCATACTCCTCCCCAACAAAGGCAAGGTTAGGTATTTCGTCATATTAGTTGGTCCTTTCACTACAGCTGAATTTTGAAATGCAAAATATCAGAGACAAAGGATGTAGTTCAGCCCTAAATGTATTTATCTTTTAGGATTAAATTACCACATTTTAGAGCACTCTTTTATTTCCATTCAGTTGACTTGACCCACCCTACCCATTTTTTGCACTGGGAGCTGAGGGGTTTATCTCAGTGTGAACGAAACCATGACTGTTAATAGGGGCAAGTATGGAAATTGTCTTCATCTCATTGCCCCATGCCTTAATACTCTTACTCTAAATTTGAAGAGGTCCTGGTCAAGTAACTCCTGGCAGACCCACTCCAACGTATGTGGCAATGGTGCCAACACTCTTAAAGATAGGAGGAGCCTGCCATCTAAATTTCCTACACTGTTTCAGAGTGCCTGACTTGGTGTCACTCGGTTCCCACCAACAGATTAAAACATGCCAAAACCTTAAGGTAGGTGATATATAGGGAATCCTAGAGTAATGCCAAAGAGAAAGTGTATTGTTCGAACAGGAACAGAAATTTAGTAATGTTTTCCTATTGGTAACCTCACAATTTGAGGCTCTGAGCTGTCACTTTGCTTAGATTCTTCATAAACCTGGCACACTCGGGGGTCACTGGGGAAATTAAAATGGAGGCAGGTAGACACAGCTGCCCAATATGGAGGATATGAGGTAGATTTTGTTGCATATAAATCTTATCAGGAGCCACAGGGTCCTGGCAGTTACCCTAGGAAATCAGGTGCTGATGTCAAGCCTGAGATCTTGAAATTGACAAAAAGGTCATGAAGTCCAATCTGTTGTATAACCAGACCTTCCCCGAGATACAAAATGTAACAAATTACAGTCTGGGAGCCATCTACTGCAACATGCTTATGTATTACCTCCGTGAGTAAAACATAACAAAACACATCACATTACAGATGCTGAGTAGTCCTAGAATTCTCCTGACTTTTTGAAGAAGTAAAAATAGGTGCCCAATGTTGTCAGACTTTTAAAATTTGTTATGCCTTGCAAGATTTTTACATGTAGAGTTTCATTTGGATGAGATCTGGAATATGTGTGTGTCTCTGTGTGTTTGCATGTGGCTGCTGTTATTGTTGTTGCTGCTGCTCAGTGTTTTCCCTTTTGCTTTTACCTTCCTGAGTTGCTTTCCCGTACATTGGAGGGGGAAAGAGAACAATTTGGAAGAACAAACAAAATGGAAAGAACAGGAAAGGAAATGTTTAAGCCAGGAGTGGACCATTTGTGGCCCTCCAGATGTTATTGGATTGTGACTCTTATTATCCATCACTGTTGACTATGCTAGCTATGGTTGATAGGAGCTGCAGTCCAACAATTGGAGGGCCATGACAGGGGTTAAACAATCATGAGCCAAAACTTAAGCAGTGGTTTATACATTGTTTCTGAGGAGAAGTTTGCCTGAGCCTTCAGGAACCAGGGTGTGCTGTACTCTGGTAGTTTAGTCTTTGGGGAAGTCAGGTATGGACCCTGATGATGGAGAAATGTTTGAGACTTATAACAAATCAGAACCCAGCAGCTGGGTCTATCTTTGTGTGTCCCCCTAAGCTCTCAAACTTGTATTCTTCAAAGAGCTACCGTGCCTTCTGCAAGAAGTTGCAAAGTCTCCTACAGCTGTTCACGGTACATGAGGAAATGAATAAGTAGTGACTAAGTACCACACTCTGAGCGAGGGTGCTACCTTTTAAAGAGCTCTATTCTTCAGAAAGGGGAAGGACCCTAGGATAAACTGGAGGACTGATAGAACATGGATTTGGAGCTTTATAACTTGTCAAAGCCTGGGAGCTGTCCTTGGTGCTGTAGACCCTGTCTGTCTTATATTTGCTTGCCAGCAGCCTCTCATTGGATGCCCCTTGCCTTTTAGGGGATAATCTCTTTGCCCTTTGCTTGTTTGTAATCTGTCAAGTGAATTAGTCCAACCTCTCACTGCAAGATGTCCCCATCTTGGTGTAGATATAAGCAGATCCTCCTTTTTGGCCCTTTACTTCAAATTTTAGCCTTCTTGTTTCAGAAATACTGTGGGGGAGATAATTATTAAACTGCCTGTTAAATGTAATTTGGCTATATGAGACTATAAAAATGGAACACCAATATTAAATATATCCATAGAATATATACAGATATGTTGAAACAGCTGTGCTTTTCTGTTGGCACTATTCGAGGCCATGAAAGCATATGGTGCAATAAGTTGTTTAGTTTTTAAAGTATTTATATTAAAATTTCACTTCCCTATTTCTTACTGGGGAAGCTACTATCAATATCTTATATTACTCAGATTTATAAGACATTTTTAAGTGACCGTCTTTTTTTGAACTGAATAGTTCATTTTCAATGAATAGTAATTACTAAGACCCTGAATCAAAGCTGAGCAGCAGCAGCAGTAGTAGTATTTGTTTCATTGCTTTCCCTGGCATTTAGATCACATTCAGTAAGCCTCCTGTCTTTGCTGCTGGTTTGGGACTGCTAAAATCTCCAGGCACCCAGGAGATCCTATTCATGGTTCAAGCTATGCTGAACTAGGTGTCTCACAAACAGTGTAATCTGTCAAGCCTTCAGACCTTGACACTGTTAGGAACTTCTCCAACCCCGTGCAGGCTCTTTTGCCTCTACATGTAAGAGGAGAGAGCTTTTTTTTGAAATGAAGAAACAAGACACAAAATGTACAAGGTGTTAATGTCTTTCACAAATGACAATATCAACAGAAACCAAATGCTCTGAAATATGGCACCTGAAAATAGACAGTTCACACTGAATTAAGGAAAGGGAATATCACAGTACTGTCACAGGCCCATAGATGCGTTCCAGATATTATTTTCACACATATACCTGATCCATATATCACACCAGGCAATTTTCTGTTTCTGTTATAAAAGCAGACACGATTTAATCTTAAGAGCAGGAGACAGAACTACCTGCTGCTTGCTGCATGACTTTCCCGTCTGCCTCTTCCCCTACCCCTCCCAGGTTCGGTGGGTCTTATTTAAATAAGCTGGCCTGAAGCCAGAAGCTCATCATTTTAATGCAGTGTAAAATGGAATATGCATAATTATATGCAAGCCATATGTGAGGGAGACAGCTCAGCTGTGAATTTCAGGAGGCCAGGGGAGAGGGGGGGGAATAGTCAGGGATTAGATGAGAGGAGAGTGGAACAGAGTGCAAGTGTCATCCAAATGAACGGTGTAATGAGCATGCTGCTGACACTCCTCCTTTCACCTACTTCTCTCGTTGCTTTAACTCTAAACCAGAATATGTTGTAGATTAGAAGGAAAAATGCTGCATGCAAGCAGTATAGTTGCTAATGGATTACATTAATGTCTCCATTTAAACTTCAGCTCCCTTAATTAACAGTGTAGATCAAAATAACCTATAACTTTTTAATGCATCTTCTTAAATTAAATTTTTTAACATATTTGATTGCCCTTAGTTAATGACCACTTGTTTCAGATCTTTACTTAAAGAATTAGAGGAAAATCCATTTAATAGCATTAATGTATAAATCATGAATACGAAAACCATTTTTAGAGGAATGACCTTGTTTCTTTAAAAAAAAATTGAAGCGTATTAGTTGAACATTTTTACAAGCTTTAAGAAAAACTATAACATATATGAATTATAATTTTCAAAATGCAGTAAATAACCAAGAAGCTTCTAATCCTATTCACATTTACCTGGGAGTAAGTACCCACTGAACTTAATGGGACCTGTTTCTAAGTAGTCATCCATAGGATTGCACTATTAAACACTGAAAACAGCTAGCTGAAATGCTTCATTTGGGGGTTTGTCTTTTGGTTGTTTTTAACGCTTACACCAAAATCTATTTGCATGGGTTTTTTTAAAAAACGAACAAAACAGTAATGGTATAATGAGCACTCAATGTTCTAGTATCTAAAAGGTGTACTGCGTTATTTATGCAAACCTCTTAATATTGTTGTATTTTGAAATTCCCGTTTGTTTTAATGAACTGAGCTGTTATGCATTAAGCTTATATTTTTCTTCCATTATTTATAAGTCCCTAAATAGGCCATTATATTTCCCTTCAGGCTAGAGATGAAGATGGACATGCTGAAAATTTTCCCCAGCAGCACTATGCTAAGGAAACTCCAAGACTTGCCTTCAAGAATAACTGCGAACTACTTGTAAGAATAACGTACTTACAACAAGTCTAGATTGTTACTTTAGCACAGTGAAAACAGTGTTTGGAAAGCTTTTGTTCATGATTACATAACATTATGACAGTTTAAAATAATAACCTGTGCCATTTGCAAATGCTAACTCTGATATAACTGAACAATTCTGAGCTCTCAATTTGTTTGCAAATCTTTTGTAGTTTAGTATAAAATTTGACTGGCCCTGTAATTGGATTTCAGTGCAATCCTGGGCATGTTTACTCAGAAGTAAGTTCCTTTTCAGTAGAGCTTACTCCCCAGTGAGTGTGCTTAGTACTGCAGCCATCCATGGTCATGTTAAGTATCTTGTTGGAAGTCATTACGTGGATCACTAGTAAAGCACATGGGAGAAAGAAAAAAGAAGGGAGTGAAATTATAAAACCACTTCCCTCCCCCAGCTCTCCCTTTTTTACATTTTAATGGTTTGTTTTCAGACAACATTGGGGGAGAAAGAGAGAGAGAGAGAAAAAAAAACATCCAGCAGCATTGACACGCAGTACTCCCTTTAGAAATCGTCTGTTTCTCTAGAATATTGAAAATACTGTGAGATATTTTCTCTTGTTCTCTTTGGCTGAGCATGGGCAAAAGCTAGCAAAGCACGGACAAAGAGTATGGAATGTTTACAAGCTATAAGTGAGATTATATCAGCTGTGAATAGATATCTGTTCCAAGGCAGGGTTAATTTGCTGTTCATTTTAGCGTTTTCAGCTAGACAAAATTAACAGCAAATAGAATTCCTGTTATATTTCTGTTCAACAAAGCTTTTGGATCCTAATCATTTTGATTAATATGTAAAATGAGCACTTTAAGTTCTAGCGTTTCCTTTTCTATTTGCTTAATTGAAATAGAAAATGAATTGCTGCTTATTTAAAGGGAGGTTTAAGATCCTGACATGCACATGGTTACTACTCCCTTTCCATTTTTCTTTCTTCTCTGTAGTATTTAAACAAAATAAGAAATATTTCCTTTTTTTAATCAATGGCATTGCCTGAGAAGATTGAGGAAATTTCTAATTTAAGAGAGTATAGTTTAGAATAAATAAAGAATGGCAGGTGAAAAGCAGGAGAGCATTTGTGAAATGTGTAGGTGCAATTTTGTAAATAATTTGCTATTTCCTCCTTAATCCTTGAGCTATTAGATCATGTTGTTTAAAAATGCAGGACTGTATCACCCCAGCACTAGAAGAATGGAATTAGAAGAAAGTAAATTAATAATAATTGTTATTTATGCAACATATTTCTTAAGGGTTCAAACAAGTTAACTCATGTTATTATAATAATAGGAGACAGGAACATTTGTATTATCTCCATATTACAGGTGGTGGAGAATACTAAATGGTGGCTTACCCAATCCATTGAGTCAATTCATGACTGAGTTTTATTCCAAAGACATCTATATTTTTGAGATGCAAACCTAAAAATACTTTATTAGTTTGGGAGGAACACTGGACACAGTGGCACCTAACTTCTGAGTAAATGTGCATGAGATTGCATAGTTAACATATTAGGAGTCATTTCTAGGACTTTTGTATTTCCCCCTTAAATTAGAACTAGTCAGTGCTAGCTTCATTGTGGCCAAAAATAACAGAATCTCAGATAACTACAGTGCAAAAGCAACCTGGTCAAACTCCCATTCCGCAGGAAAAAGCATCTGTATTGCGAATCTTTGTAGACCAGTTTTGATGAATAGTTTTACAGTCACAGTATTTTATGCATTTATTCATTCACGTTTATGTCCCGCTAAGGAAGCTCAAGGCAGCATACATGGCTTTCTTCCCTCACCATTTATTTTTGGGAGATAAATAAATCAAGAGCAAACCTTACAGGATTTAGCTGCTTGATTGGGAGAGAAAGTGTATATTCATACTACATGATGAGCAACCTATGGGTAAAAGCACTATCATTTTTTAATTCACTCCCACTGAGCCATGTACAGTACACCAGCACATTGTGATGCATGACAAGCCATGTTTCCTGGGTTGTTCTAGAGTGCAAATTTGATCAATAGGTTTTCAGTAATGTCAGGCCATATGGAAATTTTGTTTGGAGCCTTTGATACATGATGGTTGTTTTTATATACAAGTAATCACTAATTAATTTATATGTATAATGATGTGTCTCTTGAAGTAAAATAATGACAATGAGTCAAGTATCACAAGAGACAAACATTATCATAACGAGTAGAGGAGCCTAATAGTTTTTTTAAAATTGTCAAACATTATTTGTTCTTTCTTTCCCTTTTTGCTTAATTGAGGAAAAAGGAAAAAAAATCAACAGATAAGGAGTGCTTCTATTGTTGCTTCTTCTATAAGTCTTTGGGGATAGATTAGTGTTTCTATTATATATCTCTAGTTATAAATTAGAAACATCTGTATGTATGACTAGTTGCATATTTTAATGTACATTCCACTGAATGCAGTGCTTTGGGGGGATGTGGTAGCCACTTGTAAAGGCAGATTCAGGGGCACCTAGTTCACTAATGTACATTCCACTGAATGCAGTGCTTGGGGGGGGGATGTGGTAGCCACTTGTAAAGGCAGATTCAGGGACACCTAGTTTACCCTTCTGATTCCTGACTGAAGAACTGATACTGTATATGGTTGTGGATATCTGGAGATTGCCCAGAACAGTTTGTCTCAATTTACTGTATTTATCTTTGCTGGTTAGAATTGGTTAGATGAATTCTCTTCATCAGCTATCTTTCATCTAATAAATAAATAGTCAAAATGCCAAGGGCCAGCTGGGTAGGCACTAGGGCAGACCTGGGCCAAGTGTGGCCTGAGGGCCACATACGGCCCGTGAGCCGCTCCTGTCCAGCCCGCAGACAGTTTTGAACATCAAAACCATTTATAGTTTTTTGTGTAAAGTTGATCGGTTGCTTATCTTTAACATACCACAAAAAAACCTCTTTAGTATTTGTGAAGATTAACAAGTTTAAAATAAAAACAATCATAACATCATTGTTTCGTTTTATTTTTTAAGTAAAGTTGGTTCAGCCCCCGAACACAGTTCAACCTTTTCATGTGCCCCCCCCATAGAAATTAATTGCCCACTAGGGCAACTGAAGCTGTGCTGAATCTAAAACTTTTCTAGCCTAGGGATTTTGGAAATATAGACTAACTTCACATGGCCTAACTTTTGCTGCCAATGTGGTTGTGTCCCAGGGCTGGAGGAGGTGTAGATTTTGTGTATATCAGCTCCTCCCACATTTCATCCCTTGTCTAGGTTTTCTCGGGCTCTTCTGCTAGCAGACCTTAGCCAGCAGCATGGTTCTGCCACCATATCACTCTGTTGGCAAATATCTGTGATCACCCAGCAGAAGAAGGTTCTGTGTAATCCTGATTTTCTATGATTGGCACTTCTTTGAATTAGAATTGCCCTGTTACATAGCAGACATTTCCCTTCCAGTGTATACTTCGGATACATGGATGATATATTGAGTTAGGAAAGTGCTAGAGTTGAGGGGGAAAGACAATATTTTCCAATTTTTTTTTGTAATTGTGTATCTTTATCAACAAAAATCTTTTAGGCAAGTGAAGGAGAGAAAATTTAAAAAAACCAGAAATAGTTTTGTCTCTCAGGAAAGGCTTAACCAGTCATTAATGGTAGGAGACAGATGGTAATTCTTTATACAGCAGCAAAAAAAAAGTTTAAGGGTTTAAATGAAGGATAAATTGAAACTTGTTTATTCTTATGAGACTCAGGAAATCCTTGGAGTTCTTTTAGTGCGATGTAGAGTAAGTTTTATAATAGCCTGTCAGAGGAAATTGGAAGCTTAGGCTCAAAAGTGCTTTCTTAGCTTTAGGGTGCAGATGCCATTTTCCAGTACAGATTGCTACAGCAAGTACAGTCTCTTTAGTTTGGAAAATGTTTCTGCTCTGAGGGTGCTGCCAGGATGGATCGAGGGGATCAAGCAGTGATGGAAGTTGCTTGCTAGCAAGCTCCCAGAAGAACAAGAGTGCACGGTTAGAATGTTAATATCCTGGGTCACTGGCGTGCATTGAAAAGCCTTAACTCCTAAGCACTTGGACAGATTTCTAAGCCAAATAACCTTACTCTGTTACAAACCATATGCTTCCCTACAATGTTTGTATCTCTGAGCAGAATATATTTTGGCATGTTAGGCATAACTTCACAACTTTTAAACAAAAACAGCTAGATAGCAAATTGAGGAAAGAATAAGCTGCTGTTGAACTTAACATGCATATGGCAGGTCTGTTTATTAGGAAAACCGTGACAATTACAGTTTTGGCTGGTGGAAACAGCCACAAAGAAATTCCACTGTGCAGTTATGAGACTACTTTACAGTATTGATTTCCCACTATAAATCCAAAATGTGTTATGTGCTATAACATTTAATAGACAACATAGGAAACTAGATATTAAACTTGGCGGTTAAGATATTTGAATCAGTGAGGATGCAGAATTTTCCTTGTGAATTACCAGTAAATTCAGTCACTTGGAAAATTAGGTTTCCTGATGGTTAGTATCACATAATATAAATAGGGAACCAGTACATAACACACATATTTTATAGAAAAAATAGGCCAGCTGAGTGGTTAGGCTCATATACTGCATGGATGCAACACTGAGAATTTAGCTTGCTTGCGGTCTCAATCTCTCCCCCTCCTCTTACTCTTTTTCTCACCACCAAATGTTTGGTTGAGATATAAAAAGGTATCACTTATTCCAAATTCAGAAGGAGAAGCTTTTTGGAGGCAGAGTTAAATTATATATTTTAAAGAGGAAGCATAGTTTGAGAGGAAGCATGTGTGTACATACAGTGTGCAAAGATGAGGTCTCTATTTCAGTCTTTGGCTGAAGGGAAGCAGGACAATAGGGCTGGAGGAGCCTGTGTAAAACTATGATATACAGGATATGTGCATGTGCTTGGGTGCCGATTCATCTTATTGTCAGGCTATTTATTCATCAGTTGGGTTAATGATCAAATGACTAGTGTATTAAAGCTATGAGAATGTGTGTCAAGAGAGGACAGAACGTGTTGATGATATTACACTCATTCATTTGCTTCTGCAATG